AATAGAAGTAAGAGGTTTAAAATCAAGGAAAATATGTTTTAATTTAGGTTTCTTACTTTCCAGAGGATTAAAGTTATTTTCTTGATTTTGTTCTTCTCTTTTTATTTGTCTTTTTTTTTAGTTAATTTACTGAGCATAATCACACCTTGATCAGTCATTTTCTCTCTTTCTAATTTTTCAAAAATATTGTAATTCTTTAACTTCATAGCTTTGAAGTCATGTTACATTTTTTCTACAATCAATTTATAGACATATATTGTAACAAGTTTTCATTTAGAGTTAAATCTTAGATAAAATTATCCATATCTTATATGTAACAACTTGAATGGTAGACCTAGTTTGGTTAATTTTTGCAATAGGTAGTTGTCTTTATCATTTTAAGTAACAAAACAACTATCGATTAAGAATAAAAGTATCAAAATGTTGGAATAGTTTAGTTGGTTAGAGCATGTGGCCCTTAACCACAAGGTCGGAGGTTTAAGCCCTCTTTTTAGTGTTAGTTTTAACTTTCATATTAATTGATTGATTTGGGTAATAATACATTTTTATCGTTGCCTTTTATTTTTATGTTTGTTAGAATTCAGAAAAAACCTTGAACATAAACTTTTTTTATTTATCTTCTTTGTGACTATTGTCATCACACTTTTAACATCTTCTTTCTCTTTAACTCTGCAATTGTAACACAGAACAACACGAGTTGTTTCTTCCTTGTAGACTCCCTTGAGCACTTTCTCTTATGCCCCTTCATATATCTTTTCTTGTGACTTCTCATACACCTTTACTCATTCATCTACACAATCCTTCGTGCACCTCCTATGTGCATCTTAAAAATATAAGACGGCATATTCTGATCTCTCACACTAATTGAACTATTAAATGGATCATAATGTCAATAATGAAGAAGGAAAATTGTTTAAGGTTCATGAATTATGTTTGTTTCTTAAATTACTATAAGGATTCATTTCCTCTATTATAATAGAAAGTCTAAGTATCATTACCAAATTGTGGAAACAATGAATTAATCTTCTTCCATTATGGCGAATTAGTTGCATGATGTAACGATCCATCATTTCTTCTATCATGTACATGCCAATTATGGTTCTTTTCATCTTTAACATTGGAAAATACACATTTAAATATTGAAATGATATAAATATATCACAATGTGATGTGTAAAAAAGTAAGATGCAGAATTTTTAAGAAGATATTGTGCAAAATTTTAAGTAACAAAGTAAGCAAACCCAAGGAAAATTCTCACTAGTCATTAAGATAGTTGTTTATCTAGATGTGAATGTTCATTTCCAAGGATTGTGGAGGGAGGAGGAGATGGAATGAAACTAGAAAAGAATAAAGACAAGGGTTGGAAAAATAGACCATACCCTTGGATAAATAAATGGAGTGAAGAAATAAATAAGAAAAGATGAAGATAAAAGAAGTATGGTGGTGGTGGAGTGTTGACACGCCACTAGGGGATGAACTACTCTAGATAAGTGGTGGTTGCCGCCACTTGAACCAAGGTTCAAGATAAGACACTCAAAGAGATGAAACACTCTAAGAAACCTTACAAACTTGTCATAAAATGTTCAACCTAATTACATGAGGGGAAACCTTTTATTTATTGGCTTTTGGGAGAGGGACCTAAATGAAATTACAAAAGGAGACATAAACTTAACCTAAACCTAAAGGCTAAGAGTCCCCATTGTCCAAATATGTTAAATTCGTCCTAGCCCACCAAAAATATCTCTAAGGATGTGGAGAACATGAAAAAGGAGGTGAGATCCTTTATGGGCTGTGCAAAGCCAATCATACCCGTAAGCCAAGCTTCTTCCTCTTCAAAAGGGGGTGTGGGACATGAAAAATGAGCGTTTTACACCTTTGGGGTGCCCATACATGTATTCTGTGTATCCAAGCCCTCTTTTCTAGCAAAAAGAGTTGATATTTTTCAAAAAGGAGGTGCAAAAAGTGAGCCTACAAAAGGAAAACGAAAATAAGTAAAAAACATATGAAAATAAAATACTAAGTAAATTAAAAATGAATAATGAGGAAACAACCTCCTTTTAGTCATGCTCCTAGTGATCCTCCTAGGGATGACCTCTCCCATCTCCTGGGCAATTAGGGATTCATCATCCTCCCCGCCTTAGAAATAATTCGTCCATGAATTTTTAAAACCTTTTTAATCCCCCTATCTTTCTTTTCTTTCTTCTCTCTTTTTTTTTGCACTTTTTGTTGTTTTCTATTTATCTCCTTCTTTAATCATTATCTGATTTTGACCGCTTTTCAAATCATGACCGATTTTCAAATCAATATTAGAAAATCAGGTAAAACCTCACCAAGCAAGTCATCAAGTCCAAGGATAAATTGTTTATACTTATCGTTGTTGATAGACCTACAATTTTGCACCCACCATTTTTATATCAATCCCTTTACTTGCCTTTGAGTCTCTTTAGATTCCTCCAGGTTTATTCTATAAGTTAAACACTTAGGTATGGATGAACCAAGTATAAAATTATTTTGATGTTCGATCTTGCTTAGAGGTTCTTGGGAAACATCCTGAAATTTATCTGAAAGTAATTGTAGACTTTTAGGAAAATTGGAGGGTTGCTCATGAAATGCAGAATATGACCCTAGAGAAGGGTAAGCTAAGAAGAGGGGTTTATGTGCTATTAATACCTTCTTAATTCGCTTATGGGAGATCATGATCCACTTTGACTTTTTCTCTTTTTCTTTTTCTTTTGTTTCTCCTTTTTTTTTGCATTTTTTATTGGTCCTCACTAACCTCTTATGGGGATAGGGGTTTCAGTGTAATATTATGTCATTGGAAGTTAAAAGAAAATGTATTGGTATAGCCATCATGAAAAGTTTGTTTGTCAAATTGTCATGACCTACCCAGTAAAATATGTGAAGCTTTCATAGGCACAATATCACAAAAAATCTCGTCCTTGTATTTTCCTATCGCAAAGCTAATAAGGACTTATTTATTTACCTCAATCTCACCTTCCTCGCTAAGCCAAGAAAGCTTGTAAGACTTGATATAAGGAGTAGTAGGTAGACCAAACTTGTCTACTACCCTCGTGCTAGCCATGTTCACACAACTTCATCCATCAATGATTAGTGAACATAACTTGTTATTAATGAGGCAACGAGTATGAACAATATTTTCTCTTTGGGAAATGTCAAGGTCATTTTGGACTTGACCTAACATTCGTCTCACTATTAACAAATCGTCTTCACAAGGTTTGATCTTTTCATCGTTAGAGGAAGAGTGCTCATATGAATTCTCTCTAAATGGAGAGGGGGGGGGGGGGGAGAAGAATGCTCACTCTCGATATCTCTGCTTGCACTCAAAATATTTTATGCAATGTAGTTCCTATGGATGTTGGACATATCCTACTTGGTAGGATATGACAACATAGTAGACAAACTATCCATGATGGCCACACCAACATGATAATTTTCCTTCACAATGACAGAAAAATAATATTGTGTCCTCTCACACCTCAACAAGTGAGGGAGGACCAAATAAAAATCAAAAATAAAATTGTAAGAGAGAAAAAAAAGTCAAAACAAAAACATTATCTTTAAAATAAAAATTGAATTGAGAAGCAATAGAGTTTGGGGGTTTTGTGTCCCCTCCAAAAGAGTTGTTCAACAAAAACTTTTCAAAAATAAATTTCTCCTCTAAAGTTTGAACAACCTCTTTTCCTTCTCTCATAAAAAGAACACTTGTTACCATAAGTCACAGACTTACTTTTCTATCACATGAGGTATAACATAATTTTGAGAATAATGATCTATTTTTCAAAGAAATACCTTATGAAATTCCACTTTTAGGGAATAGAGACTTGTTGAAGAAGGGTTGGGATCAAGCAGAGTCTCTCAGTCCTTGTGTTATACATAGATTAGATCTCCCACTTTTATAAATTGTTTTCTTTCTCAAGAGGGAGGGTCTGATGAGGACTATCTAGGCTATAACACATTGGGCCTCAAATATGGTTTTTTTTGTAGGAAAAGCTTGAACTAACACATAAGACCATGACCTAACACACAAGACCATAACCCAACACACAAGGCATGACCCAAGAACTTGATATGGTTGCATAAAGAGAACCACGACCACCCTTCACTTATTCCACTTGGTTGCACATCAAGAAGACTTAGCGGTATATAAACATTTGAAAACATATTCCCCATTTCAATATGGGACCTTGGACGAATGGTACAAGAAAGAAAGACATAAGGGAGAGCTTGGGTTGAACCAAAAGGAGAGTTGCATCTTGTCACAAAGCCTAGTCTCAACCAAACCTTTTGTCCTAGCTTAATTTCAGCCACATACAAGCTAGAAGTCCAAGTTCTATTCTTGGTTGTAATTTTGGAGAGCTACCACGTATATAAACACTTGAAGAAAGACAAATTTAGAGGAGATGAGACTTGAAGGGGCTGCACTTAAAAAAAGAGGACAAAGTTCAAGTCTTGGTTGTAACAAAAAGGGAATACATCATTTTAGCTTCTCAAATTCAGCCAAAACACTTCAAACACTCAAGGAGGTTCAAGGTTCAACTCTTGGTTGCAACATTAAAGAGTTTTTTGGTATATAAATTCATAAATGTAATTAAAAGTGGTCTAAGTGGGACTTGAAGCTAGGAATTTCGACCATCACTTGTATAAGGCAAAATTAGTCCCACATTTCTTAGGTGAGTCAGTGAATGAGAGGGGAACAACTATATATATGACCCCCTGTATAGCTTTTTGAATCATATTTGAATGAAGTCAAAATGTGTGTGTGAAACTTGCATATTTTGCTTGTACCCCGAATTGACTTTTCAAGTGTCTTTGGAGATTTCTTTATCCTATTCTCCTAACAAGGAACCTTTCTTTGAGGAGTTAATGTCAAGTTTCTTTAGAGACTTGAGAAAGAATTTTGGTTCACCTTGGGTGCTCAAGGTGGGAGGCTTTCAGCGTCATCCATGGTGGAAGGAGTTATCTCGTCGGGTCAGGTTACAATGGCTTGGGTTCGCGGTGAAGGGGATGTGAACTTGAGGTGGCGCGATCCTAGGGGTGCTAGGGTGGTGCAGTGATTGGAGTTGGGCAATGGGGGTTGAAGAAACGCAAGGTTCGCGATTGGTGGCACGAGATGCGCGATGAGGAGCGATCAATTGGGTGGCACAATGGCTAAGACACAGTGGCACAGTGGTTTGCTGTAATGGTGGAGGATGGTGGTTTGCTCTAGTGGTGGAGGATGGCGGTAAGTTGTTGGTGGTTCGCACAGTTGCCAGAGGTGAAACAGGTGTTCGAAGGTGGTGGAGTTGGGCTCGCACTCAGGATGTTGGGTTCTGGGGTGTGATGGTTCAAGTGAAGGGTTGAGGTTGAAGGCATGGGTTAGGTGGATAAAAAGGATGTGTCGTGCTATAGAAATGGGCTTATGGGAAGTGTGAAGTGAGGTGAGTGTAGGAATTTGGTGGAAGGGTTGTAGTGATGGGAATGTTAGTGGTGAAAGAAAGTGAAGACGAAAAGAGAGAGTGCGAGTGCGGTGAGGATGGAGATGGGATGTGAATGAAGTGATGGCTTTCGGTGATGTTTGCAGTGAAGGCTATAGGTGATGTGGACATAAAGGCCCAAGCCCATAACGAGAAGGATCTAGACCAAGATCCAATCCAAGACTTAAGGTGGACCTATGACAAGAGGCAGGCTCAGAAAAGCACAAGAGGCATATCTAATACAAAATGACCAATTTGCTAAAGGTCCAACTATTAAAAGCTCCAAACATGGAGGAGTCTAGCCCTATCACATGCATAAACTGTTTGGAGAGCTAGGAGGCCCGACTAGAAGATTTAGTTATTATTTTTATTATTATTTGCTACAGTGAGAATTTGAACCCAAGACCCAAAGCTTATAATGCCTTCACTGAACCATCTGGGCAACTTAACTTTGCTTGGGATATAAGATTTTAATTTATCTTTATTTCCTGCAATGAGACAAACTCATAAACTTAAGTTGTATTAAACATTTGGAAATTCAGAAGGAAGGTACGTAATATTCAGAATCACTTTGTGAGTTGTTGCTCTACTAGGGTTCTTCCTTGCATCATTTGATCTTATCAAGAATTATCCAATTCTTGTGGTGATCCTTCTTGGCTTATCAAATATTCTTACTTGTGGCGCCTACGGTATCTTTTATATTTTTTTTCTGTTTTCTATTTTCAATCAAATAACCTCCCAAAACCTAACCCTAAATTGTTTCCCTTCTATTCGAGTGTCGTCATTTGGTATCAGAGCCTGGTATGCCTAAAGTAACCATTAGAGAGTTACTTGTGAGTGAATCACACGAAGGGGGTTTGATGGGTCATTTTGGGGTTCAAAAGACTTTAGAAATTTTGCAAGAGCATTTCTTTTGGCCTCATATGAAACATGATGTGAATAAGTTTTGTGATCACTGCATTGTGTGTAAAAAGGCTAAATCTAAGGTTAAGTCTCATGGGCTGTATACTCCTTTACCTGTTCCTGAATATTCTTGGACTGACATTTCTATGGACTTTATTTTAGGGCTGCCTAAAACAAAGAATGAAAAGGATTCTGTGTTTGTTATTGTTGATAGGTTTTCTAAGATGACACATTTCATACCTTGCAAGAAGGTAGATGATGCTTGTCATGTGGCTGATTTGTTTTTCAAGGAAGTAGTTGTTAAGTGGTAAAAATTTGATATAATTATGCCTTGAATTGTTATGAAACCACTTAACTTATGTTAATTCTAATATATTTTTCTCCCAATATAGGATGAATTCGAGAATACCTTGATACAAGAGTAAGGAGCATAATTGTTAACATAATTGGAGTAAAGTTGAAAGAAAGAAGAACGTTTAAGCGAATAAATGATGCAAGACCCGACCCAAATTCTCTTATAAAAAGATACGTTGTGTTTTGAGAAAAGCAAGCAGTCTTGGAGGAGAGGAGGCACAACTACTGTTAGGGTTTTGTCCAATCTTCATCAATTCTTCTTCATCAATTGAAGCATTGTAATGGCCAACATGAGTGGCTAACTTCATTCTCTTAGGATTCGGTGCACTTCCTTTGAACTCTTTTGTATCATGGTGATATTTTGAGATATTAATCTATGCTTTGATGTTGTTATTCTTATCTTCTATGCTTTGGAATGATTTATTCTTGATTGTTTGAGGTATGATTGGAAAATATACCTTGAACCCTATATCACGGTAAGAATATTTGTTACGTTAATTGCCAGGAATGGAATGAATGTATCAATTGCTTAACACCCTAACCCTAATGCTAGAAAATCTGTTAATTGTGTGAGGAATCAACATTTATTAGGTTTTCTTATGAATTTCATGTGTGAGGAATCAACATGGATGATTTGAGTAGGTGACATCAACATTGTTAGGTTAATTGACGTTCTTAATTGACATAATCATTACAAAAGAAGGATAAGGAAGGAAGCCAATCCTAAGTACCTTTAATTGATATTTTCTCAACAATTTACAGTTCTTTGTCATTTAATTTCAATTCAACTCTTATTTGCAAAACCTAATCTGTTTTAATCTACTTAGTAAGCATAATTGGGAATTTCCATTGAAATTGTTCCTCGTGGGATTGACTTTTATTTAATCGAAATACTATATCTGCGATTGATAATTTGGTACACTTGCCAATAATTCAACAAGTATTTCTAGCGCGTTCTTAGGGAACGGTGTTCTTTGAGAATTCTTTGTTTAGCTTATTGAGTATTTTATTTTTATTTCTTTTTTTATTATTATCATTATCATTATTATCATCATTATTATTATTATCATTATTATTATTATCATTATTATTATTATTATCATTATTATCATTATCATTATTATCATTATTATCATTATCATTATTATTATTATCATCATCATTATTATCATTATTATTATCATTATCATTATTATTATCATTATCATTATTATTATTATTATTATTATCATTATTATTATTATTATTATTATTATTATTATTTAGTTTTTAGTTTGTGCTAATATTTGCTTGAGTTACTCTTTTGATTTATGCGTTTAAGAGGACATGTATCTTCAGAGCAGTTAGAATTTAATCCAGAAATTGAAAAAAGAGCTCGGAGGAACCGGGGTAGAAGAAGAAGGGAAACTCAAGAACAAGCCACAAGAGAATCTGTTAATTCTTCTTTCACACTTGATTTACTAGACCCAATTATAGAAGATATGGCAGAAGAAGGAGCAAATCCAAATCCAAATCCAAATCCAAATCCAAATCAAAATCCAAATGCAAATCCACCTAGAAGAACTCTTAGAAATTGTGCTATGCAGCAAGGTCCAAAACATTTTTCCAGCATTGTCATTCTGGATGATCATACATTGCAGATAAATCCAGCTTTCTTAAGCTTGATTAGTGCTCATCAATTCACTGGATTGGATCATGAAGACCCTTATATTCATTTGTCTACTTTTTATGAGTTGATTGGTACCATGGGATTTAAAGCAGCAAATCTTGAATCTGCATATTTGATATTATTTCCTTTTTCTTTGGCAGGTAGGGCAAAAGAATGGCTGAAAGCACATCCTAATCAGAGTTTGACTAATTGGAGTAGTGTAGAAGAGAACTTTCTGAACAGATTTTTCCCACCATCCCGCTACATCAAAGCAAAATCTGACATCACTTCTTTCAGACAAGGAGCAGATGAGCAATTTTGTGAAGCATGGGAGAAATTTAAATCACTGTTGAGAAGTTGCCCAAATCATGGATTTGATGACGTTTCTCAGTTGAATATTTTCTATACTGGCTTGCGACATGATGCAAAGATGTTATTAGAGGCTACAACAAGAGGATCTATGTTGGATGTAGAAATTGATCATGCCACCAGAATTATTGATGCACTAGCCTTTACAGACCAACATGCCCAACATGATAGACATCCAATTCAAAGGAAAGGAGTCCTTGAACTTAACACCACAGATGCTCTCTTAGCCCAGAATAAAATTTTGACCCAACAAATTGAAGCATTGAACCAGAAAATAGAGAAATTACCTCATCAAATGCACACAGTACAAATTATTCCTAATCAACAAATGAGTTGTGATTTGTGTGGAGGTGATCATTCAAATGAACAATGCTCTTATCAAGACAACATTCAGCAAGAAGAAGCTAATTATATGGGGGCCCAAGGTAGTAGTCAAGGCAGACAAGGTAATTTTCCTAATCCCAATAATTATCAGAATAATTTTGCACAAGGATGGAGAGGGAATCAGAATCAGAATCAAAATTTTGGATGGAAACAAGGACAACCTACATTTCAACAACAGTCATATCAGCAACCTCCATATCAACAACAGCAACAACATTATCCTTCAGTGCCTGACAGAATAAATAAATTGGAGGATACTTTAGAAAAATTCATGCAAGGCACTATGGCTAATCGAGAAAATATCGAGGCTTCATTCGGAAATATAGAGACCCGAGATAGGCCAATTGGCTAAGCAATTATCTAAGCAGCAACAAGGAGGACAATTTTCAGCTAACACACAAACCAACCCCAGGGAGCAATGCAATTCAATAACTACAAGGAGTGGAAAAGTTGTAGGTAAGGGGATTGGTGACAATATAGTTGTTGAAGAAGAAGTTTTGGTAAAAGAAGATGAAGAGCAAGAAGATGAGAATAATAAAGAAAGACATATTCGGAAGAACGAAGAGAAGATAGAAAAAGGAGGGAGTCAAAAACCATTGGTAGAGAAGTTACCGTATCCCAAGGCTCCTTCACAAATAGATAAAGAAAGACAGTTTGCAAGATTCATGAATATTTTCAAGCATTTGCAGATTAATATTCCATTTATGGAAGCTATGGAGCAGATGCCGGCTTATGCAAAGTTCATGAAAAAGTTGTTAACTAAGAAAAGGAAATTCACTGCAGAAACAGTGGAGCTAGAAACAGGATGCAACGCTATAGTTCAGAAATCATTACCTCAAAAGTCCAAGGATCTTGGCAGTTTCACTATACCAGTCACAATTGGGACGTTACAAGTAGGTAAGTCATTACTTGATTTGGGTGCTAGTATAAATCTAATGTCTTTGTCTATGCTTAAAAGAATAGGAGACTTGGAAGTAAAGTCTACAAGAATGACATTACAGCTAGCTGACAGATCTGTAAAGATTCCTTATGGAGTAGCAGAAGATGTTTTAGTTAGAGTGGATACCTTCATATTTCCTGTTGATTTTGTGATTATGGACATGGAGGAAAATGAGGAAGTCCCATTGATCCTGGGAAGGCCATTTATGAAGACTGCCAAAGTAATTATAGATGTTGACATGGGCAAGTTGAAAATGAGAAGTGGAGATGATGAAGTTAATTTTAATCTATTTGAAGTTGTACAACAACCGGAAGACAAGAAAGATTGTCTCAGAATAGACACTTTGGAGGAATTAACCATCTCAACTGAAAAACAAGATTACAAGCCTGTTGCACAACCCCAAAGACATCTTAGTCTGACTATGAAGGAAGTTGTTCAAAGAAAGGTACTGAAACCTCCTGAAGCAGGTATGATTTAT